CTGGATATCCAGTAGATATCTTAAACTCAATATATCCCAAACAGAATTCATTATCTTTCCCCCTCCAACCTTCTCTATTACTCTAGAGGGTAACATCCTTCCAGATCTTCAGACTCAAAACCTAGGAGTCATCCTGGACTCTCTCTCACCCCCCAAATCCAATCTGTTTCCAAGGCATGTCGATTTCACCTCAGGAGCATCTCTCAAATATGCCCCCTTCTCTCCTCTGACACGGCCCACACCTGCTTCAGACTCCTGCTATCTCCCACCTCAATTACTGCAACAGCTGCTGGGGGTGGGGGGCGGGGAGTCTGCCTGCTTCAAGTCTCTTCTTACCCAGGGTAACACAGTCAATATGTGTCAACAAAGGAGCCCTGCAAGCCCAGGATTTCAGGGTTCTGAGCCCAGCTCCCCAGCTACTGCTCCACACTATTGTTCCAGCTATTAAACTGACAATAATGCCAATTTCTAGGGGCTTTCCTCATAAGGACCCTCTGCAGTAGAGAATGACGATTCCTGTATATGAAGAAACTGAGGCCTAGAGATTTGGGGTAGCTCACTTGCCCATGGCCAGGCAGCTAAGAAATGCCGGGGATGGAGATTAAACTCAGATCACCCTATTCTATATCTAAAAGAGTTGAGCATTCTATAGTGTAGGACCATCTATGTAGGGTTGGAGAGAACTTTAGGAGAATCATCTAATCTGACTCCCTCCTCGTACAGATAAGGAAGCTGCCCTCCTCTCATAACACCATTCTGCCTCTCACTATTTCGGTTCTTGTGGCAGGAAAGATTATCCCCCATTAAGATTTCAGACAATAGGAAAAAATGAAGACTTTTATTGGGAGAGTGGAGAAGGGGGGGACCTGAAGATGATTGGCCTCCTACCCAGAGGCAGCCTCCAACTTAGCTGAGCACAGGACCAGCTCTCCTGAAGGGACCTCCAGGGACAAAGGCTGGGGGTGTGGGATACTCATGGGAGCCTGAAAGCTGATGCAGAAACTTTGTCGTGAAAATTTCTCTCCATTTCTTCATTGGGAAGACATCCATTTTAAACCTGTACCCAGCCCTGCTCGAAGCTCTGAATTCAGTTTGCTGACTGAACTCCATCAAGGTAAGTAGATTCTTACAATGACTTGGGTCACTTCATTCCTATCTACAGCCAGGAAATGGACTCTGCTTATGGTAAACTTTATTTAGTGAGTAAGTGGTTTTCAGAGCAGGTAGAAACCTCCTTCTTCTTTGCTGTAATCTACTGAAGTGACCTTCTAAGTCTGTCTTCTTCCTTGTTGCTCTTTTTTAAAGTCTAGAAAATGGAACAGGGAATGTCCGAGCTGGGAGGACATGGAATCTTAGAACACTGATCACAATGTTAGAGACATAAAACAGAAAAACTAGAATTTTAGGGCTGAAAGCAACCTTAGAATAGAATGATAGAATTAGGGTTAGGGTTAAGGTTAGAGTCTATTAGGGCTATAAGACAGCTTCATTTATCGACTCCAATCATTTCATTTTACAAATGAAGACCATTGAGATCCAGAGACATTCCTTGACTTGCCTAAAGTCACACAACTAGATTGTAACCTCATGTGAACTTGAACTCAGGTCCCAAAACTCAAAGCCAAGAGGATAAAGAGAAAGGAGCCCATACATACCTGGATTATGGTTGATTTCAGTGAAGGCAGTTCTGTGGGCAGCAATGAGATTTCAAGGCAATTCATCCGTGTGCTCAGGGCAGTGCCAGGAACTCTGATGGCATCAAGAACCACAGGGGAAATCAGGGGAGATGGTGAGATGGGGAAGTGCATGGAGAAGAGAGAAGGGAGGAGGGAGCAGCTGTGAAGTGAGTCATGCTGGGGCAGGACTCCCCTGGCCCCATATGCTACTCCTGTGCCACCTAGTCAGGGTATGAAGAAGAGAGCTCCCACACACACACTCTAACTTCTCATTGCTCCCCCAATCATGTAGTCCCTCTACTCTTGCTGTTCTGTGAGCTTTCTAAGAGGCCCCTAATCCCCCTGAGGCATTTATGAGCCTATGGGCAGAAAAAAAGACCCATGGGTGGCAAGGTACAGAACAGCAAATCTGACCTTAACCATAAGTAAGAAATTTCAAGCAGTGCATCATGGTGGAAGCGGCTGGGAGCATTATGGGGAAGGCATGAGAAGATGGTATGGGCAGAGGGCATGGGCAGTGGGCAAGGGCAGAGGGCATGGGCAGAGGGCATGGACAAGCTGGAGTTGGAACAAAGCAGGCAGGGGTACCTGGTGTCCAAGTAACGCCACAGTATGTATGGCCCCAACCTGCTATTCAAACTTTAGAATCATAGGAACAGGAGTTCAAAGCAGGAAGGCACTGTAGAGGGCCAACCAGCCTATCCCTTCTTTTTATAAAAGATGAGACTAGGGGCAGCTAGGTGGCGCAGTGGATAGAGCACCGGCCCTGAAGTCAGGAGGGCCTGATTTCAAATTCGGCCTCAGACCAAACACTTGACACTTACTAGCTGTGTGACATTGGGCAAGTCACTTAACCCCAATTGTCTAAAAACAAAAACAAAAAGATGAAGCTGAGGCCCAGAGAGTTTGAAAAGCTCACAGATAATTAATTAGACAGAGGAGTTCAACTTCTCTAATGCCAATCCAGGGTTCCTGCACCATTTTTCCCCCAATGCGCCCATGTCTCTTCATATACTACCCCTGTCTATGTAATATACCCCTTAGCCAAACTGGAAAACTCCCTGCACACCCTGCCCATACCAATCAATCAACCAATCAACCTTTATTAAGCACCTACTATGTGCCAGGAACTGTGCTAAGCACTGGGGATACAAAGAGGCAAAAATCAGTCCCTGCCCTCCAGTGGCTTACAATCTAATAACACATTTCAGTCTGGTAGGATTGTACTTTTAAACATATTGATTGCTCTTCAGGGACTATACTTCTCTCTCTTCACATGTTGAATTTCCACGTATAATATAAAGCCCACCTCAAATGCCACCTTTTCTAAGAAGTCTTCTTTGAACCCCCCATCAATGATGACTTTCTCCTTCAGACATAACACAAAACTGGGTTTTCTGCCTCTTTACTGCACGGTCTAGTCAATGCATATACTAGTGTGTTATGCCTAATAATACTTCAAGTTTCCCACCCTTGTTTCAGTATCTGTAAGTTCCAGGAGGGCAGTGAAGACATCTCTAGCTAAACTTTTAATCTCCTTCAGCTTTTGCCGAGAATGCACATGCACACAGCAGGTGCTTAATAAACCTATGTTAGTGCTTCGAGGGCATGCTGGCTCAGGCTCATGTTGTACTAGATGACTTCTCACGTCCCTTCTACCTCTGAGATCCTATGATTTTGAATGTGGCTGGCCTCAACCATGAGCTCATGGCAAAGTATGAACTTCCATTCCATTCAATTCACCAAGCACTTATTAAGCACTACTATGTGCTTGGCCATGTAATAGTTCCTACCTTCTGGCTCACTTGATCTCTCTGGGTTTCATTTTCCTCATCTGTAAACTAGTGTGGTTGGACTAGAAGATGAGTGCTTAGAGATCTGTGGATTGATATGACCACCAGAGAAAAGATTATATCATGAGACTTTTTGGTTTACACCTAGGTATAAGTGATTAGAGGTAATGTGTATATTGATATAGTGAGAAGGGAGGGAGGCCTTGAAGTTGGAAAACACAGATGAAAGTCCTGTCTATGACATACAATCCCTCTGGAACTCTGGGGAAAGATTCAACCATTAAAGCCCAGACAACTTTCTGAGACTATGAACCAGCACAAATCTCCATTACTAAAGGGAATTTCCACACTTGGAGCTCCCAAGAGCACTGAAATCAGAGTTCTGGTCCATCTACCCAAAAGATGCCATTGTCATCATCATCACTGTCACTTTCTGTGTCCATGGTCATACGGCAACTCTGTGCTAGGTCTGGTACTAACAAAGCATGGACAGCTCCTTCCCAGTGTGTGGTGGTAGAATAGGTAGCTCACTGAACCTCTCCTTTGTAAATGAAGAGGATTGGAGCTCAGGCTTCCCCAAGATCTCAAATGCAATGATTCAATAACTCTAAGCATAAAAAATCAGCAAATCCTTTAGAAACACACAGTACATGGCACTACTGGACAGGGTGAGACAGAGATGTGCCAAACAGCCTCCCCTGTTGTCAATGAACCTCCAACTCCAGATATGCCAATGAGGTGACTCAGGGGCAAGGCAGAAATGCATAGCCCAGGAAGGAAGCAAACAGGACAGGAGATGAGGGCAGAGAGGCATGGGCCCTGGAAGGCTCTGGAAAAAACACGATGTTTAAGCTGGGTCTGATGGAGAAAAGAACATGGAGGTTCTGCCCTCATCAAGCTTACACTGTATGGGCTTAGCACTCATCTAATGAATTTTTCTAAGTCTTTGACAATTTTTATTTTCTGTTGTTTTTTGTTTGTTTGTTTGTTTTTTAGATTTAGAGGGTTAGTCTAAGTTCCAAATGATAGGGTTGGTCTAAATGCCTTTAGAACTCTAAATCTTGCTTACTAAGCCTGGACCCAACGATACCAACAGGGATGAAATCAACTACTGACTTTCAAAAGTTCAAGAGTGGCTCAGCTAATTGCTTCCTGTGTAAGATTAAGGGAAATGAAGGCTTACTTCCCTTCTCTGGGCTTCAGTTTCCTTATTGACAAAATTAATGGGTAGACCAAATGAATTCTAAGATCTATTCAAGACAGCATGGTGTAAAGCAAAGACTTTGGAATGGGAGGATCTAACTTCAAAGAAGATCTCTGATACTTATGTAACATGGTTGCTTTGGCCACACTCTCTCAGGTCCAGCCTCTTACATTTTGCCACGGCTAGGGTTCTCTGGTATCCTGAAAGGGTTAAGGAGATCTCTTCTCTCTGTCATTGGCTCAAGTCCCTACTACTATGGCTCTCCCCACGTTGAGGAGCTGGAATGACTACTTGAACCCCAGGTCCAATTAACCACTTAACATCCAATTAGCTGTTACAAAAAGATGTTTACTTCAAAGATATAGCAAGAACAAATATACAAACACCTGAGAGACAAACCCCCTGCATATGCCCCCTCCATCTCTGGGAATGGGGAGTTGGGGAAGGCAGGAACCATGAGAAAGTTAGGCTCACAATTTAACTCGGTTCCTCTATAGCATTGATTGTATCCAGTTCACATCCAAAGATAGCAGCCCAATGTGGGCTTCTGCTGGGCTGGAATTCCTGACCCCTACTCCTCAAGACAGCACTCTTGGGCTGGTCCAGCATCTGGTGTGTATTCCTCTATCCTTGTGACTCGGGCACCCAGAATAGATTGGAGACACGACTCTCTATACCTAGAAAGAAAAGAGTGAATGAAAAGATGAAAGACTCAGGCCTGTCTCTGGGGTCACATGGCCTCAGGGGGGTGGAAGGAGGGAGGAAGCCCTCAAACCCTCCTCCCTGACCACAAGGTAGGAGTGAGGAAAAGTTCTCCTTCCCTCACCATTACATTGATGAATCAGTTCATTTTAAAGGCAACGATTCTATCTAAACAGCCAGTAAAGAAAACTCCCAATTATGTGGTAGGCATCCATGCTCAATCCTCCAGTGTCTTAAAAGCAGTCTCCTGGAATCTTCCACGTGAGTGACTCCATCTTAGATGGTCCAGAACCCCCATGACATTTACTGCCTCTATTGCCTTGAGCAAGTCAGTTACCACTCTGAGCTCCATTTCCTCACTTGTCAAATGGGAAGGGGAAGGGTTGGACCAAATGAGTTCTAATGTCTGCTAGCTCTGATGGGAAAAGCCTTTGGAGCCAGAGGCTCTGGGTTTTGGGGTTTGTTTTTTTTTTTCAGGACTCCTCCCTGTACAGCCTTGAAGAAGTCACAACTTTTCTGAGGCTCAGTTTCCTCATCTGTAAAATGAAGACAGCAACCAGTCCCAGTCATCCTTAATGTGCCCTTCAGCTCTCAGTCTTTGACTCTATGAATCCAAGGTGCTTTTAAATAGGACCCCAGTAGAGTTGTTATTTGCTCAGTCACTCGTGGGATTTTAGATTTAGAGCTGGAAGAAACCTCAGAGATTGGCCTTCAAGGAGGCTTTGCTAAGTGCCAAAGCCTTTGGGCCTTGGGCCTCAGCCTGGCTTAGTTGCTATGAGGAGAAACAAAGGGTTTCTAGCTGTCAACCTCCAAGCAGATGGGGAGAGTTTCCATTGGCCTGTGGGCCTCCCTGGCCCTTGGCTAACCTGACCCAGAGAGATTAGCTCACTGATGCCTATCACACACAGGCAGCCCCAGGCAAGAGTTTCCAGAAGGAAACCTAAACCTACTGGCCTAGACACCCCTTTTCCTTGTTGGTGTCTCAGCCTGTCTTCCCTCTCCCCCCCTTTCCTTCTGCTTTTTCCATCCCCTCGCCTTTTATTAAAAGGCAGTGCTGGGGGGTGCAAAGAGATGGATTTGGAGCGGCGCCCGTGCAATGTCAGGCAGTTAGGTTCCTTGACCCTCCATTTCCCGCCCTGTGAAATGAGCGAGTGATACTGGATGATGATAATTAAGGACCTTTCCTGCTGTAAAACCTGGGATTCCAATGGTCAGAGAACCTGTGTTCAAATCCTACCTCCATCACTGATGACCCGTGTGACCTGGGACTCACTTTACTCATCTTCTTACTTTCTCATCAAAACGGCATCTGCCAGCTCTGACCCTCTGGCCTCATCACGACCAGTCTTTCCCATGGACGCTTTCAGACGACATCGTGGGGATCCTGGCTGTGTGGGTCTCTGGGAGGGCATTTTTCTGCCCATCCTTCCAGGAGCTGAGAGTATCTTGATCCCGAGCCAGGGAGAGGGGGCCTGGCTGGGGCATGGGCAGCAAGGGCAGCTCATGTCCCAAACAAGATGAAGGAGCACCTGAAGCTGTTGCTGTTGTTGTTTGTCCATCGTTCTCGAAGAGGACCACGCCATCAGGGAGGTGCCATCATGACTCGCAGCAAATTGGATGTAAGTGAGGCAGGGCTGTGCAAAGTCACCTGCCTCACCTCCTCCTCTGGAGCTGTCTGGGTCCAGTGGCAAGACATACATCAGGATGACTGGAGATGGCCCAGGCTGTAGCTCTAGGGGCACAGAGAGGGAGCCCAAGATTTCAGAGCAAAGCCCTGTGGACACACTGCCCAGGAAGCCACAGGCTCATCTGTTGGAGAAAGTCCTGGGCCCTGGTGCTGCCTCCACTTGCCATGGCTAGAATGAGCTGGTGGTTGCTGATTTTCCATTTTGGAGTATCAGTACCAACCTATGTATTGCTACTTTCTTCCACCTCCCTCCTTACCCAAGCAGGAAAGCTACTCATTCCAGGATTTAGTTTGCTCTGAAAAGTTACTTTTCTAATATCTGTTAAGACAGCCAGAATTTCTGTTTCTAGCTAGATTAAATCCACTATCTCACTGCTGTTGATCTGTTGCTTTATTTGTGAAGGGGGTAGGGGACACAGGACAAGAAGGAACAACATTTGGGCGTCGGTCTACAAAGGCAGAGAAAAGAGTAAGATGTGGAGCCAAGCTTTCTCCTAGCTAGGTACTCACATTGAAGGGAAATCCTATTCGTACTTAGTGCAAATTAGTTTGGAAATTAGGAATTAGGAATTCCTAGGGAATTAGGAAGACCATTTCCTTTTTTTTTAATAGGGACTAAACTTGTGATTTTGCTGGTATAAGGATCTCCCAGGGGAGAAGCCGCCTCTTGACTGGTTAAAACGGATTGATTCCACCAATGTGGGTTGCCACCTTTTCTGTAATTCATAGTTTCAGAAATGGTGACTTGCCTAGGGTCACGCATAGTTATACATCTAGAAAAATGTTGTTCATCCTTCATTTTTGAAGAGGATCAATGACATCATCCAAGATGGGGCTTAAACCCAAATCTACTTGGATTCAGGCTTCATTCTCTAGCTCCAGCTGTGCCGATTCCACGTGCTCAGGATAAAGAAAGCCATTTCCAATCTCTCTCTCTCTCTCTCTCTCTCTCTCTCTCTCTCTCTCTCTCTCGTCCATGACTCACATACATAAGAAATCAGACTGAGAGGAGTGAATCTTTACAAAGGCCAGGGAGACAATCACTGGGTCACTTATATCTTTAGTCCCTAGAGGTGAGTTGTTCCCAACCCCAACTGTATTTCCCAAGTAAATCTACTTCAGACCAGTAATTTTAAAAGTTAAAAAAACAACTTCCCAAAAGGCAGAACTAAGCTAGATCTGGGGTTTTCCTTCCTTTGCCCTAGGCTAAATATGAGTCAGAGGACCATTTTGTTTTCTGGGCCAAGACTAGGCTATTTGGACATGTGGCTTCACTCCATCCTTCCCCTTTCCAGCCACCCCTACTCCACCCCACCCCCCATGCATGAACAGAAACAGCTCTGTGCAGGGCTGGAGTGGAGGGCAGGGACTAGGGAGTGAGAACTGCCCAGTATGGCCAGCCTTGGAAAGCAATGCCCACATTCCAAAGGCAGAAGCCAGAGGAAGGGAGGAGTCCTTCTCCTGATGACCTTCCTTCTCCAAGTCTTCCTTCACCTTTCTCCTCCAAACCCATACCCAGAAAGGTAGAGAAAAGCACCCCCCCCAGGGTCTTAAATGACAAAAGCCAGGATTCAAGCCCAGAGTGTCCAACTCCAAAGAAGTTCCTTCTATTTTAAAAGGACTGATTTGCTTCTCCTCTTACCAACTCACTTCCTTCACCCTTCCTCTCTCCTCTGTCCTCAGAATCACAAAATCACAGAGTTGGAAGGGACCTCATAAGTGGCCTAGTCCAGCCCATAGCTAAATAAATCCCCTTTACAGCAGCTCTGATAAGATGGTACCTGGCCTTTATGTGAAGACCACTAGTTAGGGGAATGGCTTATTGGACAGAGCCATGGGTGTGAAAACAAGAAGACTGTAGTCCCAATCCTACTCCAGTTACTTCCTAGCTCTGTGACCTTTGGCAAATCACTTAACCTGTTTCTTCATCTGTAAAATGGGTATAATAATGGCACTGATATCACAGGGCTGTTGATACAGTGCTTTGCAAATCTCAACACTCTAGGAAGCCTGCTCTCTATCTGGGAAAACTTCTCCCTTTCCCTCCTTATGATTATTCCTTTAAGGTGTCAAAGTCACACAGCCCGGAAATCAGCCCATATGAACTATTCCACCTCAAGTCCTGCCCTGGGAGGTTTCTAACAGCTGATTTCTAAAGAGGCAAGCCACTTTTGGAGGTCTGTGGGCCACCAAGGGCAGCGTTTAGTGACAGCCTGAATTTAGCGTCACCCTCTACCCTGCCTGAAAACATCCCCCTCCTCCCTTTCCCTTAAGGTTAAAATTAAATTAAGTTCAGAGCACCACTTCCTATAAGAGACCCATTCTCTCCTTCTCTGCCCTCAAAATTACCCAGTATTTGTTGGTGGTGAAAATTGTGTCTACTTGTCCCTCTTGAAAGGTAGCTGAGTGGCACAGGCCTAAAGTTTTAGATTTGAAATCAAAAAAGATATGAGTTCAAATCCTGCCTCAGAGATAACATAGCTGTGTGGTCCTGAACAAGTCACTTACCCACTGTCTACCTCAGTTCCTCCTCTATAAAAATGAAACTAATACTAGAACCTAGGTCACAAGGCAGTTATGAAGATTACATGAGATATCTGTGAAGTCTTCTGCCAACCTCAAAGTAGTATAGAAATTCTGGACATTATCAGTTCATGGGTTTTCCTCCAAAAAGATTGCAAGTTTCTTGAAGGCAGGAAGTTTCTGTGGGGTGTATGTGTGTGTGTGTGTGTGTGTGTGTGTGTGTGTGTGTGTGTGTGTGTGTGTGTGTGTGTGTGTGTGTGTGTGTCTTCAAATCCTCAGCATCTAGCAGGGGGCCGGCACATCACAGATGCTTAATAAATGCATTGGATGCCTGAACATGAAGGTGTTCCTGATTCAAGATGAAGCAAAACTTGACCAACATCTCACAGGCTCCGGGCACAGGAAGAGTTAATATAGTTGATAAAGCATGTGGACTTTCTTTTGCAGTTCTTAGGTTAATGACTCTACATTGAAAGTTAGGACACCAGGGCCCTTCCTGCTCAATGTCTGCAGAGCCCTGAGGAAGTCAATTTTCTCTGGGCCTCAGTTTCTCCCCCTGTACAATGAGAGGCTTGGGGCAAATGGGAGGGAAGTGATATTCCCACCATACTCTTCCTTGGTCCGATCACATTAGAGTTAGATACAGAATTAGTGTTGGATGGAGCATGTTCCCAGGGTCCTTAGAAGAGAAGAGGAACAGGGGCAGAAACTCAGAAAATTCTCAACCTGGGGGTCCAGAGATCACCACCTAACTTCAGAAAGAAG